AAATCTAAATTTGATAGAATATAATGATCAAAGTGGAAATGCAATGTGAATGGGCTATCATTTGACATTCCCTCCTGCCTTCCCTCAATCATTATATATACCTTCTATATATTTATATTGATAGAACCATTATTGCCCCACAGGTGAGGGGTGTAACCATTTGGCTTTCACCAAGGTGTATTGACAATTATTGTATGTAGAACAGCAAGACACTGTTCAAGGTCTTAATTACTTTTCATGGTCATAAGATTTAAACAAAATATATTTGTGCCAGTGTAGTGACTAGTGAGCTAGAAATTTAATTCGGAACTAAGCTCCAAATACCAGAATCATCTTTAACTATTTTGTGCCACCTGGGCAGGACTCTTGTTCTAAGAAGAAAAAGAAAAGAAGCCTTTCCCAGACAAACTTAGTAATTGGATGGAGTTTTCATGGAAAGCAAAGCAAGATAATCCGAAAGAAATGCAGGAAAAAGAAAAACCTACCTGATAGAGAACATATTTGATCAGAGGATCTACCTTCAACTCCTCTTCAAGCTCAAACAAATGAAGCTTCCACTGTGGAAATATTCAACCAAATTAGATCGTTAAATTATAAAGGTAACAAACATATAACTTTTGGCCATGAGTCATATATTGCTCGTAATACATTAAAACTACAAGTTGGTAGTCTTTTATTCGAAAGATTTCCAGCATAAACACCTCTTCAGATAAATTATATTAAAAATTTTGCAAGTGTCCAATCTGAAAGACTTTTCTTAATAAATACCTTTTAGTGTACAGTGTTGCTTATTCCCAAGGGGGATAGTGTTAGATTAGTACTTTGTCAAGTGTATTGTCTTTACTTCTTCAACTGATATGCTATGCAAATTATATCAATAATGTAAATAACTTAAGGAAATTTTATCACACTCCTCAAATTGTGTTTCACAACAAAAATGAAATGACTGTAGGGTGACAATGTTGATGTCGTGGAGAAATTGTCGAATAATTTTAGGTAGTTAGTTCCTATTTTCTAGGAAGCTTATGTACAGAATTAAATTTCTAATTTACTGTAATCTAGGGATCTGTTTACTAGAATTAGTTAGGCTTTACTGTAATCTAGGGATCTGTTTACTAGAATTAGTTAGGCTCTGTACTATAATAATACATTGTATTTTGATTATTCAATTAATAAAAAAAGATTATTCTTTTTCTCTCTAAACTACATGGTATCAGAGCTTTAAGTTTTTTTTACCTGGAGATTTGAGAGACATCTTTCCTTCATTGTTCATTCAGAATCTTTCCGAATAACATTTACTTCTCTTATGTGTTTTTCCGTACCCTTTCCTTTCTGGTCTAACCATTTTTTCCCTCCTAATCGTCTCTAAACAATGTCTTCTTCTTCTGATGTTACTAGCCTACCTATTGCTAAAAATACACCTAGTCCTGTTCAAACCAATCTAGAGATAGGAAGCCACACTTCTCTCCAAATTACTGTTGTTCGTTTGAATGGCAAAAAATTTCTTGAATGGGCCCAAGTCCGTAAAACTAGCCATAGATGGCAGGGGTAAACTAGGTTTCTTGGCATGAGAGGAAAAACCACCGGAGGAGAAGGATCCGGCTTTTCGTCGTTAGCGTTCAGATAACTTGTTGATCACGGCATGGCTACTCAATTCAATGGAGTTCATTCGTCGTCCGTATAAGTTCATGGAAGCCAAGGAAATATGGGAAGCTCTTAGAGAGACCTATTCAAATTTACATAGTTCTTCTCAAATCTTCGAATTAAAAAAATTGTGGTTGTCCAAGCAGGATGATAAGGATGCAACATCATACTACAATGAGATGCTTTCAATGTGGCAAGAATTGGATCTGTGCTACAATGACCAGTGGGAGAACCCTCGGGATTTGGCTAGATTTCGCTTGAGAGAGGAGAATGACTGTGTCTTTATGTTTTTGGCAGGAATTAACCATGAATTTGATGAGATTAAGGGGCGTCTTCTAGGCAGAACACCTCTACCTTCCATTAGGGAAGTCTTCTCTACAATTCGCTAGGAAGAAGACAAGAAGAGAGTAATGAACAATTCTGTTTCCAACCCTGAAATTGTGGAACCTACAAATTCAGAACTTCTGAAGGTGAAAAAATTTTTTGCGAGCATTGCAAGAAGTCGTGGCATAGGAAGGAAAATTGCTAGAAAATTCATGGCAAACCAGCAAATTGGAGAAAGAAATCTGATAGCCGAGCACACTCCTCAGTGGTTGTTCAACCTCAAGAACAATCATCTACTCTTAAATTACCTCTTCCACGAAGGACCGGATTGTAAATTTATGCAAACTTCTACAATCTGAACAGACTTCTTATTCCTCTTCTTGTTCTTTAGCCCATCAAGGTAATCTTTGTCCAAAAGCTTATTCTGTCAAATCTTTTTGTGATCCTTGGATAACAAATTCAGGAGCTACAAATCACATGTTTAGTAATTCCCCATTTATTTCTCAAATATCCTCCTGCAGTAAGAAATAGGAAAATTAAGATTGCGGATGGCTCTTTTTCAGCCATTGCTGGACAGGGATCCATACGAATTTCTTCATCTCTTATGCTTAAAAATGTTCTTCATGTTCCTAACCTTTCATGTAATTTGTTATATGTTAGTCAGATAACAAGAGAATTAAAATGCAAGGCTAATGTCTTTCTATCCCACTGTGAGTTTTAGGATTTAGTCTCGGGGAGGATGATTGGCAATGCTAGACAACATAGTGGTCTGTACTTTTTTGAAGATGGAAACTGCTCGAATAAAATTGTTAAAAATTCCTGTTTTGATTCTGTTTCGAATTTCAGTAATAATGATGTCATGCTATGGCATTATAGGTTAGGACATCCAAGTTTTCATTATCTCAAACGTTTGTTTCCAAATTTATTTTTGAATAAAGATCCTTACTCATTTAGTTGTGAAATTTGTGTTATAGCAAAACAACATCGTTCTTCTTTTTCTTCACGTCCATATCAACATTCAAAACCATTTCAATTAATTCATAGTGACATTTGGGGTCCTTATAGGATTCCAACCCATTCTGGAAAACGTTGGTTTTTGTCCTTTATTGATGATCATTCTCGAGTAAGTTAGGTTTATTTAATGAAGGAAAAATCGAAAATTGGAGATATTTTTTAAAAAAAATCACTATGGTGAAAACACAATTTAATAAAAAATAAAAATTTTAAGAAGTGACAATGGAAGAGAGTATTTCACAAAAATTTTAGGACAATTTTTCTTGAAAAAAGGAATTATATAGCAAAGCTCGTGTTTTGATATACCTCTGCAAAATGGTGTTGCTGAGCGAAAAAATAAACACATCTTAGAAATTACACGTGTTTTACTGTTTACTGCTAATGTTCCAAAACAATTATGGGGAGATGCTCTTTTACATGTTGTTTTCTTGATAAATCAAATGCCTTCAAGAATTTTAAAATTCAAAACTCATCTAGATTTTTCAAGAGTCAAATCTGAGTTCCAAACTATTTTCAAATTACCATTAAAAAAATTTTGGTTGCACAGTCTTTGTGCAAAATTCGGATAAACAAATAAAGTAAACTGGATACTCGGGCACATAAAGGATTTTTCGTGGATTTTTCAACTTCCTTCACGAAAGGGGTTCAAATGTTTTGTTCCTTCACCTAAAAAATATTTTGTCACTATGGATGTTTTGTTTTTTGAAAACAAATAGTTTTTTGTCCCTCATCTTCAGGGGGAGATTTCAAATATGGATACTAGGAAAGACGATTCGGTGACCGTTTCAGACCTTGATTTTTTAAGTAGTCCGGATTCTTTGGAAGATAATTCTGATATTTTTTCAAATGAATTAAATCTTATAAGTCCGGATTTGTTGGCTGAAAATGTGGTTCAAAAAGATTCGGATTTGTTGGCTGAAAATGTAGTTCGAAAAGATTTGATTTCAAATTTGAATAATCAACAAAATTCGAATTTATTAGCTGATACTTTAGCTAAAACAGATGTGAATTTAAATTCACAAAATCCGGAGCCAACTTCAAATTTAAATGAGAAAAATCAAAATGTTATTGTTGAGTCAGAAACTGATATTTCAAAAATTAAAGATGTTGTGAATATTAGAAATTCTACCCTTT